AAAAATAATTATTATAACATTTTCATTACTCATTAAAACAAATTTGAATTTTCATAAAAATATACTACTGCCTATGTTAAGATTTTCTTCTTTTTCTTATGCTTCTCGTACACTTTGTATTTTTCATATCAATTCTAAAATGTTTCTTTTTCTTTAGCTTTTTTTGTTTTTGTTTTATTTCTGCTTTGCTTTTTGTACTTACATTTTATACATTTATAATTTTTAATATATTATTTCGTTATTTTCTTTCATTCTACAATCAAGTTTCATAACTGTTGAGCAAAAATAAATAATGATTATTTCAACACTTTTCAGTCCAAAAATGAGTGCTTTAATAGACTTGAGCAAAATCATTTGTTTGTTATTTTTTTCTTTTTTATTTCTTTATTCATCAAATTCCATTGGTAAAAAATTTTACAAAAAATTAAATTATTCATTTAAATAAAATTAAATTTAATGCACGTTACCAACCTAATAGAAAAAAATACCACTGTCCGACTTATTTTTTTTCTTCTTTTTTGTTTCTCGGACACTTTTTCTTATATTTTTCGTATCTATTCTAATATTAAAAATATCTCTTTTTTTCTTAAGCTTATTTTTGATTTTAGTCTTGTTTTCTTGATATGTTTTATAAATCTCTCTTTTTTGATATTTTTTTAGCTCAAAAACTTTATAAAATTACTATCAATAGCAAAAAAAAACATTGTTCTACCTTTTTTTTAACTTTTTTGGCCTTTTGTTAATGTTACTCGTCAAAAAACAACTTGTGCAAATAAAAATGTAAAAATAATCATTATAACATTTTCATTACTCATTAAAACAAATTTGAATTTTCTTCTTTTTTTTGCTTCTCGTACACTTTTTATTTTTCATATTCCTTCTAAAATTCGTTTTTTTTTTCTTTAGCTTTTTTGTATTTTTTTTAATTTCTGCTTTGCCTTTTGTACTTACATTTTATACATTTCCAATTTTTAATGTATTATTTAGTATTTTTTCTTCGTTAGTTTCTTTTATTCTATAATTAAGTTTTACAACTGTTGAGCAAAAATAAAAAATGAT